GTTTTCTTTCAATTCTGAAAAATTCCTTATATCGATGTAAAATGTAAATGATTTACAAAAAAAACCAACCAACCGACGAATCGATTAAAATTTTTAAAAATTGATAATAATTTAAGGTAAAAAATCACGTGAAACATAATACTCGGTGGTCACCGCACTTTAGAATCTCATCAGTTTAGTTTGGTGTTTGTTTTTTTTTTTTTTTTTTTTTTTTTTTGAGAAAAAAGTTCATGAAATATGTAAACCATATAGAAATACGGCTTACAATAGACAATAAATTTGATCCAAAATATCGAATATTTGGAATTGCTTATAAATATTACGCCGCAGGCATTTGGATTGAACACGAATTTGCATTGAAAACCATAAAAATGTCATAATCGAATTTAACCAGTGAAAATGATCGTTTAAGCCTTGGTGTGGTGAAAATGCATCACAATCGTTTGGCGCCATCAATGAAATCCACAAATGCAATAACATTGTTATACTAAAATCCAGATAGTTCACGGAAGATTAAAAAGACCTTAGCCATAAATACAAAGCATGTCAGAGGCTCTGCTTTACTCTGCGCAATTAAATGAATAGAATAGAATTTACGTGTACCAGACCAATTAACCTTGTGCGCGTTAGAGATGACGTTTTTTTTGCTTGAGGCCGCAAATCACATATCGATGCATTTTCGAATCGCGATAAACGATGTTGCCATTCAATTCAATGTCAAATAGACACATTTGGTTGACATTTCTTCATGTTCTCAAGCCATTTTAGCGGTTAATTTCTTTCTGATTGCTTGTAATGAACGTGCTGATGTGAATGCTCTTGCGAAAAAGTCGGAGGCAGGAAATGTTGATTTGTGCCAACTTGGTTAGTTTCATTAAAAGTAGCCCGAAATCCATTTAATTGACGTAAATTATATAGAATAATTGAATAATTAATAGAACCAGTGCAATATTCTAATGAAATAATTTCGATGAAATCACAATTTTAAAGCGATTCAGTTTGTTCAGCAATTTCACCAAGCAAATGTCAGGTATTATCGATTGATCGGGGTGTGGAAGATGTTCAGCAAAGAAGAAAATAAACATAAACTTCAGGGACACAATTGTTGTATCTTCCCACATTTATGGCGGTTAATCGATGCAGCGTGTTACGGTATTCGTGTTCATCGGCAATCATCTGAATGGCATTTTCTCTCAAAACGAATACATTTCCGAGAACAAACACATCGAGTGCGAAGAGACAAAGTGTTTAAGAAAAATACACAACATAATCCAAGAAGGGAATTGCTTCAAGTTATAGCTCGTTAGCTGTAATTTGCGACACGAACCACCATATATGCACACAAACACACAAATAACATGCATTTTAAGTCATATTCAAATTGATTCGAGCCTATAATTGAATGTTATTCATCGCTGATATAAATAAATATAGCATCACAGACAGATAAATCTAGCAATTATTACATTTCGGTGTAAAACTGTAAATATCAAGTGAAACGCGACCAATTCTCAACCATAAACAAATGGTGCCGGTGGTCATTTTCAAACACACTTTTATCGTATAAAATCAAAAAAAATTGTGTTCGTCTGTGTGTATATATATGCATGTCTCTGTGCACGCTTGCCTTGAAAACCTAAAAAACGCTAATCAATGAAATTAATCGTAAATTGCAATTATCCAAAAATGGTCATCGAGATTTGAACAATTCCAAATGCAACAAAACACGTTAAAACACTCCAATAACCGTTAAAAATAAATTCATGTTGAAAAAAAAAGCGGAGTGTTTTACTTTGCAACAAAAAAGTGCATGAATACATGCATATATCGGTAATATCTGAGGAATATGCTAAAAAAAAGAGAAGAAACCCGTAATGGACATGAAAAATGAATGTTCAGCAATTCAAAATGCAAGCGAAGAAAGAGCGTGTGTGAGAGAATTTCATTTGAAAATCGCAATTTCACCACTCCGTCGTGTTACACTTTGGCTGCAAATGCTTAAATCACTTTATTGAGTTATAAAACGGCTATAATTTTCAGTCAAACAAACTTCAACAATCAATAATAAACAATTTTCTACATGAAGAATGCCTATTTGAAACACTTTCAGTTTGAAAACGACTTTGCATGTTGGTGCTCATTTTCAATTTCATTTCCCACACAAACGCCAAAGTTAAATATAACTGAATGAAATGAGCTCGATGTTGGTGTTTTTCTGACATGGCACTTCTTGGATTTGAGCTGATAGAATACAAAAACATACGCTAAAACCGTGTAAACAGTATCTGTTACATTGTTAACGATGATAATATTTGGTTGGGTGCGTTTACAGTTGAAACGCTATATAGATCGTGTTCTTCACTCCGACGTTCAATGAATATTATGAATTCCGTTTACATTGGTCTTATCTGCCATATCGATCATTTGCCGAGTCTCAATTGATCAATTGATTTGCCTGTTACAGGGCATGAAATTGTACATGTTAACCAGCTAGATTGCTTGGCAACCGCTCTATCTCGGAAGTGCATACTTTCACAGGTCGACAGTAATGACATTACATAGCCGAAAGCGATGTTCATCGTGCAGTAACGATTTTATGCCCTGGACCATTAACTAGAATTTGACATATGTGTTGATTGAGGTGATAATTTTTCCCTTTAAAAGTGTGTGGTCTTGATTGATAATAATAATCGTGGGTAAGAGAAAATGAAAAAGAGTTCTGACAGCTCATCACGCGAAGATTAATTATGGGGGCAAATGAAAAACTAGATCATGATACACTTGATAAAGAAAACAAACGATCAACGAACTGTAAATGTGTATCAACAAACTACCGTTAGCTCGTCATGGATTCGACGTCAAACGGGAATTTTCGCAATGCAGGATCAATTGCATCTTTTGGCGACCATTATCCTCAGCCCACATGCCAGTCTAATAGCCATATTAAAAACTCGTAAAATTATTTCAAACATACCGAAACGCATGTAAACATAGACATAAAATTCAAATTGTCCGATGAAAATTATTATTGCCCATTGATTTAATGACGACAGAGAGAGAGAGAGAGAGAGAGAGAGAGAGAGAAGGGAAGATTTTCGAATGCAAAGACCTTTGACATGATGTAATCAACGATGTTTGCCTTTTCTAAAATTATCACATTCACTGTTTGCTATCGCGAATATTTAGCTATTTTTGATATTTCAAGTTTTTCAAGCAGTTGATAAAGCCATTTGCGCCACCCAACACACTGCTCACTTATATACTTGTGTCACATTCATTTGTCAACTATTGCTATCATGCTAATTATTTGATTAGCGAAAATTATACATTGTCAACTGGAATTGAACTATAAAAAAACAATCGATATCTGCTGACAAACGTTGAAAACAAGAAGCCACCATAAATAACAAACTGATGACATCGGCCGATGAAAATGAAGTCTCTTTTTGATTAACATTCTTTTAATTATACATAAAATACAATGTGTATTATGAATATTTCGAAAGTAATCGCTTGTATGGTGATTTACACATAATATACTATTTGCTGTCGCATACTTTGAACCCGACTGGTGATTTTGTCTTCTTCTTTTTCTTTCGCTGGGACAATGAATAAATTTTCATACATTTTGTAACTAAAACGCCGTTCAGAAATTAGAATATTAAAAAAATGTAAATTGAATTTTTGATTTCGGTTTCGAATGTGCAGTAATTTGATTCAAATTGACAGCCAATGAATTACAAGGGAAACGAAATCAAGAAAATGATTTTTAATTGATTGTTGTTTCGCACACTAGGGGGGTCTTGTCTTTTTGGACGTTGATGTCACTTATACTCTTGACCAAATAAACACCTTTCGATCTTTGCGGATTTTAATGAAACTGGCCACTTTTGTTTGGCTTGAGATTCAACTAAAAAAAAGATCTTTTTTTCTTTCGGTCATCGAACGACGGCCTTGATTCCACCACACACCATACATGCTCAATTAACAATCAATTTTATCGTTTTGTTTTTTGCTCTTTAACGGCTTCTGATTTAACGCCTTTTTACTGAAATAAAAAACCTTTTTGATTCGCGTACGCAATTTGAATCCAAGGAAAAATGGCAGAAAAGAAATGAAATTAATAAAGTCGGTCGTCAATTTTTGTCACACGCACTTCAGCACTTCAACAATGTTCAGGCCGGTTTTTGGCAAAAAAAAAATATGCCTCGAATAAGCTATTATTAATACATCATCATATTTTACATTTGAATGCCCAAAATCATTAATTTCGGCATATATTTCGAATCCAAATTTTCAAATGGAATAATAAAAACTCATATGCATATTAATAGAAATAGACAATTTTAGAAACGATGATAAAATCTATTCCAGATTGATCCATAAAAGAAATTTCATGTCAAGCATTCATTCATATTTAAAATCAATTTGATTGTGTTTATTGATTCGAAAAACTTTCTTCAATTTCTCTGCTGGCATTTTCAAAATGTAACTAGTTCTATCGTCGTTGTCATCGAAAACTATGCAAATGACGGATATGAAATAGGAGAATATCTTGGCTGATGAGCTGGTTTTGAACAGATGCAAAGAGCACACATTCTACAAAACACGACGAAAATTACGTTTCTTGGCGCCCGTGTCGCAATTGATGTTTCACATGAATTTCGGAGCATTTCAACGAAAGCAGTCAGTGAATTTCAAATGAGAATATCATCACATGTACATGTCACCAACATTTAAAAAAACAATAAATTGATTTGAAACGAAAAAAACAACAACGATAAAATGCTTGGCAAACGTTATGTTGTTTTTTTTGTCTTTTAAAAAATATGCATTTCTTTCGTGCGCCAATTTCAACGCAATTGGTCGATGCAAGTGGATTTACTGCTGAGATTGTAGCTTTTCGGTAATTACGTGCACACGCAAAGTCGAAGAAATATTTATTATTGAAAATGCAAAGTTTAAATTTCAAGAAAAAAATTTTTTTTGCATATACTTACTGTATTCGCTGTCATTGTCTTGCGTTCCGTTGACGGTGCCATCAGTTAGCATTTGTATGAAACGTCCTTTAATCAGCACTTGAATGCGTTTGGTGGCCCTGTTCAATGAGAAATTCGCCGATCTCTCAAGACGATCTACATTGCTTGATTCATTGTTATGTAATCGTTTGCGTTTATTTGTCGCAATATGAACACTACGATCTGTACGTGATAGAATCTCTGCATCGTCCACCACATCTTGATTGTTGGGATTTAAATGATCGTTATTATTAATGCTATCAATGTTCTGCGATTTGGTTTCATTAAAATTATTTAGATGATCTAGAAATACTGATTGAATAGATGCTTTCGTTGTGATGGTTGATTGATGTGTAGTGGTTTGCATTACCGGCACGTACGTTTCGAATGATGCTGCCGTTGAATCGGTTGTATGCGCTACATTTTTGCCCCGCGATTTGAATTTGTTCAGATTTATCGCATGCTGAGTGGCATTTTGTTCGTTTCGGATTTTTGTTGTGTCCGCCGCATATTGACCATTTGATTTAATGTTTGTATGTGTCGTTCGGCTTGCCAGTGATTTGAGATGTTTAAATGTGTCTGGTTGCTGGTCAACTTGACTAAGTGTATCTAAATTTAATTCGTTTGATGCATCAAACGGATAATTTGCAGTAGCCACCTTTTGTGTTGGCGAAATTGAATCGCGATTTTTTATTTGTGATGGTATCATTACTGCTGACTTTGTTGTTTGTGTTGTATTTATGTGCCATTTCACAACTGTCGTATCATTTTTCATCGTGTCCAATCCAATTGGATTATGATTCAGTGAACGATTCAATGGCATTGCATCGGTTGACAGTATGGTGGGCATCAGCCGATTTTCACTTTCAATGGCATTTCGCTTGAGTAACTGCGAACGATTTACATGAAAATCGCTGCTTGGCTCGATTAAATTAACCGACTTTGCCGTGCACATTATGAATGAAATGGCCAGAAGGAGTGAGCATACAATGGCCACTAGGGCCTTACTCCAATCTAACAAAAGTTGGATCGGCATTAACCTCAGAAACGCCGTGCGCTAAGTCACCATTATACGCCACAAACCACTTATTGGTATTGGTTTTGTGATAAAATCCAACGTAAGTCACGCACTTCATACATTTAAACAGATTTATGTCCGTGCACGCTCACTCTCTCATTCATTCACTAGTTTATCGTCACCTCTTGTTGCCGTTGTTTTTTTCTTTGCTTTTTAATTTCAATTTACACAATTTACCGATTACGTCACAGGCGACAAGAGTAAAAGGGGAAAAAAAGTCAAGTTCAAAATTCCACTTGGCACTTAAACGTGAGTAAATTCCTTTTGTTACGTTTATTGTTCGTTTTATCAGCGCTGATCAAATATGATTTATTTTCACATTTTTTTTCTCTTTATGGCTTCTTCTGAATTCGCACCGATTGCATTATTTGCTCGTTCATCATAAATGGCAGAAATTTCTTTTTTTAGGACTTGCAAACATTAAATAACATAATAATCAATTAACATGAACATAATGTACTTCTTTTCATTTTGACTGATAAATTTTCGGAACTGTTTGCTGATCCACGATGCCACATTCATAATGTCAAAAATTTCATTTTCAATTACAAATCAACACAGTTCATTGGCTTCAATTGTCAAATAATTCCTCTTGGCTTGTGAGAACGCACGAATGCATGGCATTCAAGGTGATTTATGTAATCAGTCCAAAACAAAAAACGAGTTGTTGTCGTGGGAACACTATCGAATCCAAAAAGAACATTTTACCACATATACAGTTTTAATCAACTTCAACTCTTCCTTTCGATTTATTGGGATTTGTTGTGTGTAATCTTTGAACTCGCAAAAAAACAATGTCTGATAATTGAATTTGAACCGTGTGTCATAACAAAATTACTGCGGCTGTAATATTTTACCATGTCAAAAGTCTTCACTTTTACGATGAATTAAGAATCGCCGTTTTACATAACACATTCATCTATCAAAGCGTTTGAATGAATAAAAGTTGGCTGGTGTGTATCGTTTCACCGAAGGAAAATGGGTGAAAGTAAAAAAGTCACTGTATTTATCCTCGTAGTATCACACACCGCATCGCAATTCGCGCACTGGTTGAAATAAATTTTGCACAATTTTTTTTTCGTCTTTCACTTAGCTTTCTCAGTTTGTCGATGTGTGCGCATATTGATTATTCTCTAGTTAAATGTTCTGTTTATTTATTCGCTGCTGTTAAAAACGGTATGATTTTCGACTGTTTCGGTCACATCGAGAGAACAGAGAGAGAGAGAGAGAGAGAGAGGCGAAAAAGCTTCTTCATATGATCACGTAGCACACGTTCGATGATGCTCAAAACGCGTGTTTCATCTGTGCAAATTAACCGAGTGTAAAGGCTCGCCACAATGAAAATAAATCAAACGGTAAAATCAACGAGTCGGTTCATTTTATGCGGCAACGTAATTTTCGTCTGTTTTACTTTTGTTGCGTTTTGTTTCCGGATTCACGAAGAATGCATGCTCGACTTTTATTGTGGTGCATCTTTTGCCAATTTTTGACCACTTTACAAATAATCAATGTAAGCCAACAAAACGAAAGAATCCAATTTGAATTTTCGACACCGTTAACTCGAGTTCGATTTATTTGGAAAGTTTTTTTTTTAGTTCATTTCTTTCAATTCCATTCGTTTCATTGTTTTTCACTTTGACCCACGGCAGAAAATGTATGAATGATTGTTTGATAAAAGTAATTTCGATGTAAATTTCAATTGATGAAAATTCGTCGATTTTCACGAAAAATATTTTTCCTCTTTTTCATTTTTCGTTCTCTTCAAATTACTATTTATATTTTATTTTTTTGTTTCTTTAAAATGTCTTCTTCAAAAAACTTCAGTTCAAACAGAGCTGTGATTTATAATTTCGATTGAACACACTAAGAAAATGCATTTGTGCACAATTGCATTGAATTTCGTATCGGGATGAGATGTGAAAAAGCGGCGTTCGAAACGCAAACGACAACACGCTGGTATCTCGTTGGATGTCGAATACAGACTGAGTTCGAACGACATCATGAGTTCGAACGACGAAAAAAATTGGCTTTATTTTCTAATGATACTGATCACACAGATGTGTGTATACAAAGTCCATGTAGCGGCAAACACGCACGGCTCTCCTGCGAGAACAAACGCACGCAGTGGTGTATCAATACAGCAATGAAAACCCATATAAATGAAGAGAACAGAGCGCGTAGCAGAGATGTTGTGAGTATAGTGTACGCGTACGGCATTTGATGACGAAACCGGAGGAAAAAAGCCGGCTACTAAACTCAATCGTCCATATGAAATACAATAAAAAATTCATTTCAATGTTCTCGTCTTCTTCGTTTTTTAATTTGAGCACTTTACTCAGTCACATACACACTCATCTGGCCTGCTTTCACATTTCATCTCAATTTGATGAATGCAATGCGTACGGTTCGGCGATATGATACAACGTGTATACGTTCCAACACATAAAAAATGCATGAGTTTAATTTTTCTCATCTTTTCTAGCATACATTGTGGCGTATATATTTCTGGTTTGAGTGAATACATACCGCATCTCTCTGAGAAAAAAACATTTTTCATCTCACATTCAAAAAAAAGAAAGACCAAACAAAAAAAATGATTTGAATGTATATTTTCAAACACAATTTGTTTATGTTTATGCAGTTGTACCGTGTAACTGCTGGGGTTGTGCAGTAGAACTAAAAAAGAACATGACAGAAATGTATGCATAAAATTTAATTGAACAATACACAGCCGCCCGTTACGTGCCTTTCAACATATATCCTACAAATTGATAATTGCATCGTAACATTCACCAAACAGAATGCTGCACATGCAAACCGACGGCAATAGATATTAATTTTTATATTTGTTTTGCAAATCAAGCGTGACTTAGAGTGAGACTCTCAACTTTTCCTCCGTGAAAATGACGGCTGAAATCAATTTAAGGATGCGTCGTAAACATTCACTCAAGTTAAAATGCATCGATTGTCACATATTTCTTGTAATAATTGGTTGAAAAGAAATTGACATGTTTGTCATTATTATGCAATGAAAGTAAATATCAACAAATGATTTTTGTTGAAAATAAAACGCTCAAATAAAAATTCATTGAAATTTTCATTTCTCTCTTTAAAATGTAATAAACTTATTCAAGCTTGACATGTAAATTTCTCTCGTGTTAGAATTCTGTTTGTCAAGGGCACGTTTATTTGTAGAAAAATGTGTCAAGTTTAATTCTGAAAACATACACATTTGGAATGGAACGTGTAAAATACAAGAAAATGTACTGTAAGTTTTATTACGTTCGACATTCAAAATTTAAATGTACAATTTTTGAAAATGACACTCATCTATTTACTTCTGTTCAAATTGTCATCAAATATTGAGAGTTTAATAGAATTTCGGGCTGAGTTCTTAGAACGAAAAGAAATCATTTTCTGATTAACTCGCACAATATATAGAAAGTACAAATTTCATTTAAATAATCAATAAAATGCCAGTAACAATTCGAAATATCATTTTTCACAAAATGTTAAAAGTTACGACATGTATTTCCAAAATGCTTGCGAACATAAATTGATCATGTATTGAATAGCAAATGTTCGCATAATTTAATTTTCTGCATTACCAAGGAATGTTAGTTGGATTGGCTTGTAATTGTTTGTAATATGTGTATGAAGTTCAACAGACAAAAATCCCAAACAAACTATAAGAAGAAAAAACAAAAAGGCAGTCGCAAACAAGTCAAGTTCTAATTTATGTAGTTTTTGGTGCATTCAGCACTTTATACATTTTTATTTTCTTTTTCGGTGCAATTGAGACTGAAAAAAAAATGTTTTCGATGCATTTTTCAACTTACATTGATATCTTACTCGCCAACCAAAATTATATCAGCCGATCATTTCAAAGTGAATCGTCGAATAAATCGGACGTTCTTAAAACTTTGTTCATTATCAAAGTTTCTTTAAATTAAAAGTGAATTTGTGTTTGAAAGATTTTCTTTTATATTTTGGTGTGTAAAGTGTTTGAAAATCAACGACATTCATCATGGTATTATACAATTTTTTTATTGAAGTTGTGCTTGAAGAAAGAATGTGTATTATTGTTTTGTTTGAGTGAAAAAAATAATTTCAAAACATATTTAAAGTGACAAAAAAAAATTATTCGAAATTCTATGAATATTTAAAGTGAATTTGAAATAGTTTTTAAATATGAAAAGTTTTTAATTTAAGTTTTCTTTTTTTTTCATTAGATCGTCAAGATCATTACATTTGTGCTCATAGAAACGGTTCTGTGCTCACCAGTTTATTGGCAATTTGTACCATATAATACAGTCGATCTTGAAGTGAGTTATGTTTATCAATTTACATGGTTTTTTCGTGATTTTTTGTTTTATACTATAGTAAATATGGGTTGCAAGTGGAAATCTAATTTATGAATATTTTTGATTAGGCAAGTCCATCCGAAACCGTCAGTGGCCGTTCCATCCGAAATGTGTGGTTAAATGATGAAAATCGAGGTGCTGAACCAATGGTTGGCGAAGAATGGAATCGAGGAAGTAGTGTAGACGATAGCCCTCCGCCACCGGTGATGATGCTTGGCCAGCAAAATCCAATGATGCCACCACCAATGGAACAGCAAAACCAAATGCCACAGTTAGATGACCAGAATCAAGATCGAATTGAAGAGCAACAAGTTGGTCAAGAATGGAAGCATAGCCACTCACATTTTGAACAAGATGGTGATCGTTTACAGCAACAAAATCCGATGATGCCACCGCCAATGGAACAGCAAAACCAAATGCCACAATTTGAAAACCAAGATCAAGATCAAATTGAAGAGCAACAAGTTGGACAAGAATGGAAACATACTCACTCTCATTTTGAACAAGAAGATGACCGTGTAGAGCAGCAAAATCCAATGATGCCACCGCCAATGGAACAGCAAAATCAAATGCCACAATTAGATGACCAGAATCAAGATCAAATTGAAGAGCAACAAGTTGGTCAAGAATGGAAGCATCACCCCGCTCATTTAAACCATGCCCGTCTGTTGTCAAGAGAAAAGAGACAATTCGGACAACCGAACAGTCCATTACCAACGGTTGAAAGTCAAAGCACTGATGAAGATCAACCATTAGAAGATGATCAACTCGGCCAGCAACCACCAATTCAAATGCCACCTATGGAGCCATCTCAAATTGACGAGCAACAACTAGGTCAGCAACAATCGATCCCAATGCCTCCTCCGCCTATGGAACAACCACAAATTGACGAGCAACAACTAGGTCAGCAACAATCAATCCCAATGCCACCTCCTATGCCTATGGAGCAACCACAATTTCAACAACTTCCAACTCAACCAATCTCACCAATGTCACCTATGGAACAACCTCAAATGGAACAAGAGCGCCCACAATCACCACCTGTCCCAGAAGAACCGCAAAGAGCAAAGAGACAATCACAAAACTCAATTCCAGTGCCACAATTAGATGATGACCAAAGTCAAGATGAAATTGAAGAGCAACAAGTTGGCCAAGAATGGAAACACAAACCAAAACAATTGGAACAAGAGAATAGTGATCGCCTTCAGCAACAAAATCCAATGATGCCACCGCCAATGGAACAGCAAAATCAAATGCCACAGTTAGATGATCAAAATCAAGACCAAATTGAAGAGCAACAAGTTGGCCAAGAATGGAAACACAAACCAAAACAATTGGAAGAAGAGGATAGTGATCGCCTTCAGCAACAAAATCCAATGATGCCACCGCCAATGGACCAACAAAATCAAATGCCACAGTTAGATGATCAAAATCAAGATCAAATTGAAGAGCAACAAGTTGGTCAAGATTGGAAACACAAATCAAAACATTTGGAAGAAGAGGATAGTGATCGCCTTCAGCAACAAAATCCAATGATGCCACCACCAATGGACCAACAAAATCAAATGCCACAATTGGATGAACAGAATCAAGATCAAATTGAAGAGCAACAAGTTGGCCAAGAATGGAAACACAAACCAAAACATTTGGAAGAAGAGGATAGTGATCGCCTTCAGCAACAAAATCCAATGATGCCACCACCAATGGACCAACAAAATCAAATGCCACAATTAGATGAACAGAATCAAGATCAAATTGAAGAGCAGCAAGTGGGTCAATCATGGAAACACCATCAATTGCACTTGCAGAATTTGCTAGAACAAAAGTTAGGCCAAGAGTGGAAAAATCATCCTTCCCATTTGCACAACGCGAAAAATAGTTTCGATCAAGATCTAGATGAACAGTTAGGCCAAGAGTGGAAAAATCATCATTCACATTTGCACAACGCGGATCAACAATTTGAAGAAGATGAAGATGAACTCGATGACGAGCAAATGGTTGGAGCACCCTGGGGACTCGATGCCATTTCAGCTGGAATAAATCAACTCTTTCATCCATCTAACTTATTTGGGGCAGTAAGTACACATTCATATATTTGTTTAGTTCCGGTTTATTGTGATTTAATTCCCAAATATTTCACTTTTTCCATCAAAATAGGAAGGAGAATCACAAATGAGAAGTGCAGATCCATATGGCTACGATGCACCACCAAAATATCAGCCCAATTACGATGCACCAAGCCACGCAGGTGGATCATATGAAGATGCATCAAATGGAGGTTGTGGTAACGTTAGCCCCGAAAAAGTTACGAGTAATTTCAAAATTATATTTTTTTTTCATCTCACAAAAATATAGATGCTAAAGCAAAGCACCTTTTGTCACTGTTCAAATTGAAGCCATTCAAATGTAACTATAATGCAATTTAAGGAAAAACATTTACAGAAATGCACAATTTTAATCAATTTTTCTATTCCTTGTATAAAGTTCCAAAATTAGATTTCAAACTACCATCGCACCATCTGGACTTGGGTGGTTCATCATCATATGGTGCCGACTCTTATGGTAGAAAGTGTGTGCTTTTCGTTAATGATTGAAATTTCAAAAAATTGTTTCTATTTCTTCATAAATAGCTTCCCATGGTGCCAGCTCTTACAGTAGCGGGCCAATTGCTCACTATGGCGGAGCTCCCAGTGGGGATTATCGCTCAGCCACAGCCACCGAAGACGAACCAAATCATGAAGCACGTCAACAATTTCAAATGCAACCACCACCACAATCAATGCAATTTGGCCTTCAACCGCAATTAAATCAATTCGGTGCTCAGCAACCACAAATGCAACCACCGCCATCAATGCAATTTGGCGTTCAACCGCAATTAAATCAATTCAGTGCTCAGCAACAACAAATGCAATTATTCACACAAGGACCACCAAGTCAACCAATGAACTTTCAACCACAGCCAAATTCAATGAATCTACAACTGATGCAACAAGGTCCAATGGGTGCACCACCAGTGCCGGTAAATATAACTCAATATGCGAATAGAATTCACGCTCACAAGTGAACTAAAACTCATTTAAGTATTTCATTGAAACGAATTTCATCTCTACTAACAAATTCCATTAAAAATTCTTAATTAACAGGCGACGCCTTTCTAGAATCTAGGTGTAAAACATCAACAAATGCATGAAAATGCCGCTCAACATCCTGAAGATTCGTCACGTTTAAGGTATGCTCATATGTCGAACAATCGTTTACGAAGACATTCAAGTGTTTCTCAATTGTTTTACAATAATAACCCTTTGACCAATGACGGCAAAATGACGGTAAGATCAAAGCGACAAAATAACTCCAAAGATTGCCCATTCGAATTTATTTATATGAAACCACAAAATGATGAAGTAATGGTATTTAATGAGCCAAATTTCGATCAAACTGAAGCAACTTATCCTTCTGAAATCAATTCGCCAAAAAATGCTTCGTGCAATTCTTCTCCGCAAAATAATGCAAGTCCCCAATCAAATCCGAATCCAAACTATCCGAATTCAATTCAACAGTCACCGTCATACGCTCAATCTTCGCAACAAGCACCTGCAAGACAAAGTTGTGGAGCAAATCCGCCCAATGTAACACCGTCACCAATGGTTACAACAACCACAACTCCACTCAACGCTCCTTCTAATAGCTATCAATGTTCAGCAAAAACTATACCTTCGTCGTCAAGTCAACCCAATGTTAATCCGGCAGTTCAACAACCACCGACAAATGTAGTTTTTCAACCTGTACCAATAAAACCAAGCTGTAATTTAAATCCGATAAATGCGACACCCCCACCAAATTTTCTACCGACTGCAGCCCCAGTAAACACCGCTTCAGGACAGTATCAATGTTCAGCAAAAGCTATACCGTCGTCATCAAGTCAACCCAATGTTAGCCCACCTGCTCCAGTTCAACAAACAAATACACAACCACAAGTTTTCAAACCTGTACCGATAGTACCAAGCTGTAAAGCCAATCCGACGAATTTGACACCGCAACCAATATCTGCAGCACCAATAAACGCTCCTCAACGTAATTGTCAATGTCCTCTGAAGACTTTACCACCAATTCAACCAGTTAATAGTCCATCTACTGCGGTTCAACAATCACCGTCAAATATACAAAATACACCGCCGCAGTATGTGCAAATTTCACAACAAGCACCCGGTCGGCCAAGTTCTGGATTAAATCCGATAAATGTGTCTCCGTCACAAATTGTTACAACTCCTCGGCGTATTTGTAATTGCCCAGCAAAGCCCTCTCCACCAAGTCAACTTAATGCCAATCCATCTACTTCGGCTCAACAAACACCGTCAAATGTACAAAATCCACCCCCTCAGTATGTGCAATCTTCACAACAAGCACCCGGACGTCCAAGCTGTAATTCAAATCCGGCGAATGGGACGCCACTCCTCCCCGCTCCAGTGAACACAGCGTCAGGACAGTATCAATGTGCAGCAAAGGCTCCACCAGTAAATCAACCCAATGCGAATCCATCTCCTTCTAATCAACAACCACCGACAAATGTAGTTTTTCAACCTGTACCATTGAAACCAATTTGTAATTCAGCATCACCGCCAAGTGAAGCGCCAATACGACAATATCTACCAGCGCCAGTAAGTCCTGCTGGCCAAACGACATCATCGCCCTTACCACTTGACAACAATCCAAATAGACGATGTGGATTTTGTATTAAAAATGCATTCATTTTTATGGGATTTCAGCCAAAAGATGTTGAAGTGATAAAAAAAGCATTGACAAATTTCGACGAAGGCGATGACGACGTTGCTGAACCGAATGAGAATACAGATTGTATGCAAAATGTTGTACGAATTTCAAGAAAAGATGGCGATGGCAATGATGGTACTGAACAAAAAATGGAAAAGTATCGAGACGTAGAAGAAAAAGAAGAAGAAGAAGGCGATTGTGTTGAAGATCCCGACTCACCGACCACTGAATGCCAAACAAAAGAAGATTTAGTCAAAGCATGCCACGATCTCTCGCAAACAATTTCAAGATATCGCAAATCCACAAAATAATCGATTTTTATTTTAATATTTATTATATATTTATTTATTTTTCTAGTTTTAATTTAGCCAATTCCATTTTAACATTTACATTCCATCCATTTCAGTCTAATCATACATTTTGTTTTTTTTTTCTTCTTCGTTTTCATAGTAATCCCATAATAAATCATCCATCAACACCAAATTCACCAGAAACTTCATCCACATTACCCATATCAAACGACTCAGAAATGGTTGGATTATCTCCTGTAGACGCTATAAACGAAGGACTCGATAATATTCTGCTAAAGTTTCTATCACCGTACCTGGGAAATGAAAAATTAGTCGATTTTTCGGATCCGCAACAGTACTACTATTTACCACCACAGTCCAATAATCCAGTACCACCACAAACATATCCTAGAGCCGGGAATTGATACACACATCTCATTCATAGAACTCAATTCAATCGAGCCATTTAATTACATTAAACATTCGTCATTTTAAATCATTCTCATTTGCTAAATTTGAATTTGTTAGCCTATTGACACATCGTTTTATGAATAAAATCAGCCGAATTTATGGAATTTTTTTTTGATATTTTCTTTTCTTGTTTGTGTAACAATTTTTCAGTTGCTCATTAAAATGATTTTTAGCGTTTCTGCATTGCCAAATACTAAAATACCTTTTTTGAGTGAGAGGTATGATCAGTGATTCATAGAAAATGGTAAGTTTTGATCAACTAGGAAATAAAATTTCTTCTTAAAAATGTTCCGGAAATGTAAAATGAAAAATCAAACTATATTTACCTTTACCACTGAAACTTTTTGTGAAAGTGAATATTGTGTTTTATCAGCTAACTATCACTCACATCTTTCGTACACATAAATCCAGTAAAATTCACGAATTAAACAGGTAAAGAGAGAGTTGCTTTATTTGTAGCAGTAAAATTGTTTTTCTTTAAAAAGTTTTGTCTTTCTTCGTTCACAAAAAAGTTCGATGTTGATACTTACAGTCATCTAAAGACACTGCGACACATCCAAAAAATAAGATATTTGTTTTGATTATATTTTTTCTAGATTGTAATTTGAAGAAATAAATAAACTTTTTTTTATATTCCATTGCTTTGCAAAATAAACATCAATTGTTTTATTAATTTCCATTTGAAATTATCTCCCATGCACCATGTTGAAAAAAAAGAGTAAAATAACATAAAAACACCTCATGGATATATTTGTTGAATAAAAATTGGTAATGCTTTTTTGAAAAAAAAATATATCACAAAACCAATCAAATCATATTATATCTTTCCTCGCGATAAAAGTTACATTGATAACCAAATCCACAACACCAAATTAAAAGAAGTAAAAAATAAAATTAAAATAAAATCGTGATCCATTTTCGATAATGTGCAGTTTTAATTGGCAGCAACAACCATTTGTGGGCAATTTGGAATGGCACAGTTGATCTCAATGCCGCATCCGCGGGTACGTTCTTCAAAATGCTCGAATAAAATTGGTTTACGGCAAAAAGCACATTCCTATAACGAAATACAAACGAATAGATTATGTTTCGATTCATGTGAATTGTGATTGAAATTGAAAAAGACAAAAAACGATATTTTCTTGTGCTTACCTCAGTGCACTGTGAACCTTCCAAAGGTAATTCGAGTTTCTTCCAAACTTTTTTCATGTCAGCAACAAGAATGTCCATCATTGGGCGTGTATGGTACGGTGTCGGTGCCAAACGTAATTTTTCTTGGCCGCGTGCAACAGTCGGATAGTTGATTGCCTGCACATAGTGACCGTGCTCTTGAATCATCAAATCGGAAATTTGTGTGCATTTCAATGGGTCACCGAGTTTAATGGGAATGATATGACTTGGAGTGTGTTCCACGGGGAAACCTTCCTTCTTCAATGCTGTACGCAAATATCGTACATTATCTTGATGCTTTGAACGTAATGCTCGTCCCTCATCCGATGCCAGAATTTCAATAGCTTTTTGTGCACCGGCCAGTACAGTCGGTGGTAGAGACGTCGTAAAAATGAAGCCAGCTCCATAAGAACGAATAACATCGACCAAATTAGAGGATGATGCAATATAACCACCGATATTCCCGAAAGCTTTACCCAGTGTTCCACTTATTATGTCCTATAAGCAATTAATAAAAAAAACAATAATATTGGGTGTGTTGAGATATTTTAATAATAATAAATTACCATTTTATGTAATTGTCCGTCACGTTCCCCAATGCCAGCACCATGTTCACCATATAAACCAACTGCATGCACTTCATCAATAAAAGTCAATGCACCGTGGTCATGTGCAATGTCACACAATATTTCCAGTGGACAAACGGCACCGGTCATTGAATGTACCGTTTCAAAGGCGACAATTTTCGGCACCGATTTGTCAACCTTGCTTAACAATTCATCTAAATGCTTGGGATCATTGTGACGGAAGATATGCTTTGGTGCCTGACTATTTCGTATTCCTTGTATCATTGACGCATGATTTCCAGCATCCGAAAAGATATGACAACCGGGCAATTGTTTGGCAAGCGTAAATAATGTGGTGTCATTGGCCACGTAACAGCTTGTAAACACCAAAGCAGCCTCCTTCTGATGCAAATTTGCTAACGTCTTCTCCAAACTTTCATGATAAAGGGTATTGCCCGAAATGTTTCGCGTCCCCCCAGCTCCGGCTCCATTTTCCTCTAGCGCCTTTTTAACTGCTGCCTTAACTTCTGGATGACATGACATACCCAAGTAATCATTTGAACTGAAATTCAATGCATATTTTCAATTTATTCAAATGTTTGAACAAAAAAAAAACAACCAAATATTGTGTAATTTACTCACCACCAAACGGTTATCGGTTTTTCACCCCATGAATATTCGAATGCTTTTGGAAATTCTCCGACGCCCGCCAATCGGTTCACCTTCTTGAAGATACGATACGAATGATCCTTCTTTTTGCGCTGAATTTGCTCATGAAAGAAATTCTCATAAGCAAATGTCCGTTCGGTTGGTATATCTTCGACGGAATCAGTCACATTGCGAACAATGTTGGCGGCCGAAGATGATGACAAAAATGGACACTTTGTATCATTCGAATCCAAATTAGTTGGCTGAACGGATGGCTCAGTGGCGTTTGCATTAGTCGATGTTGATACGTTGGCAATTGGTGGAGTTTGCAACGATGAAATTGAGCGTGAAACAACCGGACATTGTGAACCATAGGTTTTTAACAATACCGGAGCATAGTTACGCACATAGTTTGTACTGAGGCGAGTCAAAAATGGGCAAGGCATCTTCTTAATGCTGCTTACCGTACGACACACAGAGTTAAATGTTTATGAAAGCTAAAAAGAAATAAAAAAAAAGAAAATATATGCCATTAATATCATTTGCGTAATAAATTGTTTGACGTTGGAAGAGAAAATTAATTATTTATCAACCCAGGCTTATTAATAATAATTTATACCACAAGCAAATAAAACTTCCTTTCGACATTAAAAAAAAAGTTCAACACGCTATGGAATGGAGTAAAGGTCAAGAAACTATTAAATGAAGGTAACTCGAACTTTTTACTTTTAATACCTAAGTTGTTGTCAAATATCTGTATCACACAAACAATCGTTCAACAGCAAATAACACCACACGATATTGCATGACCAATTGTACATTTTGACACCAATCCGGCCGTAATTAATTCTTATTGATTTTATCATTGCCAATAAGTATATTCAAACAGAGAAAATCACAAAGAAAAAAATCCATTTGAATGTATTGACTTTGCAATGTCTTATCGGTTGAATTATTCTTGTTTTAACGTAAACTGTTTTATGGTTGGATATTTCCATTTGTTTCGCACTCAAATAATTTTGAAATTGAGTGTGTTAATATTTATGATTCTTTCGAAATTTTATTGCATACTTTCAACGAAGTACAAAGCACAAAAATATATAATTGAATGTAAAGAAACTAGTTGAAGATCTTACATCATATCATACATATGCGTCAATTGATATTATTTAACACAATTGTTCTGTCTAACCTAACATAATAGGTGGCTTGCTCTCGAAAAATCACAATTCAGGCGGAAATGTGCTATTTTTATAGCATTTGATAAGAGCAATCATGTAATTTGAGATACAATTTTAGAGAAGTAAAAATTATCGGTTTGAATGAATCTAATTCTTCGAGTTACTTTGAATAAAATTCATGAATTTGCAAGCCTAAAATTTGTCAAATGAAATAAATGTTATAAAAGTAAAAAATCCAGAGGAATCTTATTAAATTTTCTATTCGTGAATTTGATATAGCTCACAGTCATTGCGGTATTAAAATTCTAAGTAATTTTGCAATTTTTCAATAAAAAAAGGAAAATACAATAATTATTAACTATTTATAATGACGATTCCGAACGAAAATAAGTCGAAAAATCAATTAAACCAAATATGTTCAAGTGACTTTTAAACTAACTTGTATTATTTCCAATTAAAAGGAAAGTTTATTGTGGACTGGAAATGTTCGTTCCGCATAACCAGATTTCTTTCCTGCATTTAAATGGTATGTGTGGTCTTGGAAAAGTACTTAAATCAATCAATTCATTAAATAAATGCAGATATATAATGACAAAGCCACAATTACCGCTTTTGATTAGCTCAAAGTGTCATGAAGTAGTTTCAATTACAAACTCCATCAACAGTGATTCAGCATAAAAAATGATAACTGGTTTGTTCCACATTCAAAATGATTTGGCAAGAAAACTAGTTGAATCATGTGATTTGTGAATTCATCAAGGCCACAATTGATTATGTCAGGCAACTTTTGAAAAATTATTTAACCCACTACCTCCAAGTACAGATTATCTCGAGCCAAAATAAAAATAAAAATAATTTCACTTACAATTATTTAAAAATATTTCTGAATCACGCAGAAAAGAAAGTGTGTTTATTCAAATATTTGACCGCTTTATTCACTTAAAATGACTTTTATTTTCTGAATCGTATACTGCGTATGATATTGCTGTTGCTTATCGAAGGTTTAAACGACAACTGATCTTTCGATGTGCTGTGCGTGTGTCTCACTGAGCCACTGAATGTAGTCAGTATACAGACAGAAAAATAGAAACTCCAATAATTTATTGCCATCGAAAAGACCACTCGTCTTGTGAATACGTGTCAATGATTGGAATTTATTCATTATACTTAGTACATTTTATTGCAATTTTTCAATCCTTATGCGTTTGAATCTTTGTATTTCTTGGCTCGACAGCTGAACACTCACAGATAATAAAATTTTAAATGGAACTGATGTAATATCAGCAAGATTAATGATTAATGCATTCAATTGATTTCATTTCAACAAAAATACAAAATAAGACCTGGTGGTTCAATACAAATCTAAAATGTATGGTCATACTCAATGTGAAACTTGATTATCTTAAACGATTTTAAGTTAAAATCAACATTTATCCATTGATTGACACATGTGTGCCTGTGCGTTGTTTGTGTAGGTAAACCGTTGACGCTGCATTCAAATAAAAATAAATAAACCCGTTTTATTCAGTTGTCAAAATGTAAAAAAAAGCTTTATCCAAGATATCGGATACTTGCACTGACGTAGATGCAGGTAAAATCGTGAGAGGAGTTGTGTCAATCCATTTTTTTATCTTTGTCTAGACATTATATACATATTCATTAAATGTTCTTTCTATAGCATATCATTGCACAGTCATTTGTTGGTGTAATTTCGAGAAAAAACGAATTCTATTTGGGTCATTTAAGCATGACTTAAATTGAATTGGCTGGCCTTGTAGACGTAATGAAAATAAATAAAATATTTACCATGGGGCGGAAATGAATGAGACGAAATTTTCTCTCTCATGGGCGCAGCCATATTGAAAATTTTGTATGCGCTTATATGTAAAATTGGTGGCGCCACTGGTATATTTGATGGAAAAAGAAGAACATGTTTGAGTCTCACTCGTTTATATGTAAATTACATAGGCATTTCCAGGCCATGATATTTACTCTTTGTAAAAGCATTGAAGATCTATTTGAATTCTGCTGACTTCAACAGAAATGCTTCCATAGAAATTTATATATACATTCATAGATAGAATGCGACAATCGTTTCTGTGATAAAACTTTGCATCCATGCATCAACAAGTGCTTAATATCAAGCGTTTGTCAAAAATCTTGTCCTTGATTCTAACCCACGCTAAATATTTGTACATGAACTGAGCAGATTTTTTTCATTACATTGCCGCAACTCAATCCATTTATAGCCATGAATTGAATAAAAGGGTCTTGATATATGAACACACTTTGACCTTTTTAGTGACATTTCCAATGAAATGAATGAGAACGGCGCCCGTTTGAATTCATATAAAATACGATTTCATTTCATAAAAATCATCAGATTAAAAGGTTCAACGAAATTTTTGCCATACCCACTGAAGTATTCATTGAAATAAAACGAAATATTGATTTCATAACACACTCAATATGTTGCTTATGTAACACTTCACGCACAGTCACTTTTGCATTTGAGCAATTTTTCTGCGTCAGTTCATTTTAAAATTGATTTATTTTGCCTATTGAAAACCAAAATACCACTTATATTCGAGACACATTTCCAAAGATTCACTTTCGCTGAAATTTTACACTGAAATTGCACACTCACCTGGGTTTGGTTTGGTTGGACCGTTCAAAACCGCGGTTGTTGCATTCGGCAACTTCTGTTTTCTAAATGTAATGTTAGATTAGCTATCGTGCTAGTTTTATTAGAGAAAAAGACTCTCTACATTGGGCCTGTACAACGTGATGTAAAGTATATAATACATAAAATACATGTGCGTGTGTATGTGTGGAAAAGAATGTGACATATAGCACATATTATATGGAATGTGTCAAAAGTTGCTCAGAATACAGCGACATCTCTTTGAAAACTTACCAAATTGATCTGTAAACAAAACGAATTTTCTCTCTTTCTCTTGTATTGAATTCATCTCTTTTTCTTGCTAAATTCAAAATTCTTCCGGTATAGCATTGAATGTGTGATAATTTATTACTAAATAATGTCTTGAATTACCATTTCATCAATGGTGACTTCAACGATAAGCAATCATATACATTTCATCATAATTGCATGTATAAAATAGTGACATTGAAGCGATAAAACAATGATGTGTGGGTCAAACCATTATTCGCTGATAATTTCCCGTTTTTTTAAACAATCATCATAAACTTCTTTTCATTCATGCGTGAATGTTTTCAGTCTAATTAGATTTCATTTTTGATTCATTTGAATGTTCAGTTTTAATTTCATTTCTCAAAATTACATAAACTTTAACTTGGCAAATAAAATAAAAACATTTTATTTTGGCTTGTGTCAAATTTAATATTTAATATTGATAAAGAAAAAAAAAGATTATAATAATCAAAATATGAATAGCGCAGCAGCAACATTGAAGTGATAAAAAAATAACACATTTCATGGAATTTGGAAAAAAAAAATATTTTTTTTTATTTTGAATTATTTCATATAGAAAATGTTAAGTATATAATGTCACACAGAAGAAACTGTAATTAAAATCCATGTTCCAATAGATTTGGATAAAATTCATTGAATTCATCGCTTCGATTGGTTGGCCTATTAGATTGTCCAAATACGTTTGGAAATGAAACGTTCGAATGCATACGATTTTTGTAAACAAATAAACTGATTTGAAAGACCATAAATAGCGTGAATATAATTATCATCCAGTATGTCATTGCTTTAAGATCAGACACTTTTTCGGTTAAATTAATTAAATTACTTATATCATTTTCCAAACGAGTCACTTTATGTGTTATATAAGTTGCCATAATTTCATCGTGTTCAGCAAGTTTATCTAATTGAAAATTACAGGGATTTCCAGTCAAATCGTAAGATTCAATTTTTCTTGAGAAAAACACAAACATCGATTGAAAATTGAATGAGATATTATTATGCGGGGCGTCTAAGACCTTCAAACTGGGTGTTTGCCATATCCACTCGATATGCAGCAACGAATTATTTCGTAGATATATCCTTTCGAGTTTGTTCGTTGGGTCAATAGATAATGATGAGATTTTATTGAATTCGGCAATGATTTTCGTCATATTTGATGTAACATACAAATCTGTAAATTGATCATGTGCAATATTTAGCACTTTTAATTTTGGCATTTCCGTATATTTCATATATTTTAAATCTGGATTGAATGATACGTTCAACACTCTCAATTCTTGCAGTGGGTTAAATGTGTTATTATCTATTTGGTTAATTGAATTGTTGCTCAAATCTAATTTAACCAACTTTGTGAGGTTTTGGAATATATCTGCATTGAGCGTTTTTAATTTATTGTTGTTCAAACGTAAATTGGTCAAAGATTGTAATGGCTTACAAACACTTCCATTGAATACATCGATATTATTATTTGACAAATCCAAAGTAGTCAATGCGGATAGATTTTGAAATGCATTTTCATCGATAGTGTTGATTTTATTTCCAGACAATGATAGAGTTTGGAGATTGTGGCAATCAGCAAGAAAGTTGGCGGGCAATGATGTTATATTATCCATTTCAGCATAGATATATGTGAGGTTTTTCCAACCGCAAAATCTTTTTACAGTCATGATATCGAGCTGTTGATTTCTCACTTCGACGGAACAAACGTTTTCATTTGATAATTCGCTTGGAATATCTTGTGTTATTTCATCGAACGTTATCTTCTTACAGCCTTCGTTTGATTTTCCCAAATTACTTATTGTATAACTTTGACCAGTGACCGCATGACTCATCACCAGAACCAATTGCACAACACCAATGATTGATTTAAATTGTGTAATCCTGAAATAGTTAAATAATAAATTTGAATCTTAATAAAAAATGATACTACACATGGTATAGTAAGGGAACCTGAATATGACTTACATCATGTAAATCTATCAATTTTTCAATTCAAAGAAATTTCCTTTAAATACTGATTCGAGCGAAATGAACGGTTTTGAGTAAAAAATAATTTCTATTTGACAATCTATCTGATGCCAATTTCTGAACTATACTAAACGATGAGCTCTATAAAGAATATATGGAGACATAAAAGTAGAGCTATTCTTATCAATAACATGATTGAAAAATGAACTTTATGACATTGAAATATTGGTGCGTGTTTTTTTGTGACATTGTTTTTGGTCTTTTCAATATTGATAATTTTGATCAATAAGAAATAGAGTACAGCATCTTACACGAATTATGCACGGGCACTCACGTCAATCATAAGATTTATTTTTAAATTGGCCCTGACTTTCATTTTTTCTTTCATTTTTTGTTCTCATAAATATTTCAACTCATTAGTTTTCTGTTTTTCTCCAACAATTTCGCATACCTACCATCGCTAAAAAATGATTATGATTAGAATGTGGTATTAGTATGTATGTTTTACTGATAGAGTGAAATTGATATTGTTCAAACGGTTAAACGCATTTAATCATGTGGTTTCCCCAAAATACACGAACAAGTGGGCGAGACATGCAAATACTTACGATACAAACAAATAAAAAAAATGTTGATATCTGAAAACAAAAGCTGCTGGCATCAAGAATTAGTAAAGATGACTCATTCAGAAAGTTAATTATAGTGATTTTTCTGTCAACATGAAAATGAAAATTTGAGATTTAAAAAAAATCTGAAATCAATGGAATTGAAAAAAAAGAAGATAATTTACATATTTGTTCACTATTAAAAGTGAAATAAAAATCATTTAATAGGACAAAATGGTTATTTCTCTTTCTGAAAATTTGTTTGATTGTATTCTTATCACTTATTTCGCTTCCTTATCACTCAGAACTTTATGTATATTTCCATTATTCAAAAGAAAAAAAAAATATCACAAAACATGATTGAGACGATGCATTTATACAGACATTTAACTTTGGTTACAATATACCCGAACTATGTATTTCATTTAAATTGAGATTCGAAGAATAAACATGAATAATAATTTTTATCAACATCCAGAGATGTTATAGTGTATCTTCCAAAATCGGATCCATGCTGTTGGTCATTATATGGTCTCGTTGCCCATTCGATATTCCATTGTGTGAGAATATGTTTGGAATGGGAATACTGCAGCGTCTATAGTTGGTCACCACGAATAAAACAACTTGACATGAAATAAATATCGAAAACGCAACAAGCACCCATATGAGAATCGTTGTGAGTGATTCCAATTTTTTTATTCGATCTAATAGACTATCAATGGTGTCAACTGGCGATGGTACCGGAACATTGGGAGTGGTTGGAATTGTTGGTATTTGAACAGGACCAACCGAACTTGGAGTAGTGAGGCCGTTAGTTGGAGTGGTGAGGAGGCCATTAGTTTGAGTGGTGATTCCATTAGTTGGAGTGGTGAGGCCATTAGTTGAAGTGGTAACAATAGGTAACGGTGTAGTATATTTACGCGGCACTCTATTTGGGTCCTGTACAGAGATATGCTTATCGCGTGTTTCTTTCATCAAATCGGCCAATGTTTGGTCATCCAGATTATTAAGCGAAATTTCGATCAATTTAATTGTGTTTATGCTTGTTAAGGAGTTCACATTAAAGTTTTGAATGGGATTATCTAACACAAACAATTCTCGTATTTGTGTTCCCATCAAATATGAGAAATCAATGGTCGTGATATTATTGTTTGAAATATCGAGTGTTCTTAATTTGGTTGCTTGTGTCAATTCGCTGATGTCTTGAAATGAATTATTTTTTAAATACAGTCCCGACAAAAGGCTATTTGAATCAATGCTCAACCGGGTGATTTTATTTGAATTAGCATTGATTTCCTCCAACATATTTGGTATATGTAGATTGCTCAAGTTACAATTATTGATATATACATCATGCAAACGATCCATACTTGTTAAATCGATGACCTTCAATTCCGGATTGAATGACAATTCTAATGTTTGCAAACGTTCAAGTTTCCAAAATGCGGATTGTTCAATGAAATTGATTTGATTGTAGTTTAATTCCAAAACGTTCAAAACGGAATTATGCGTAAAATGATCTTTGTCGATGACTCCAATTTTGTTATTTGTCAAGAGAAGGACTCTTAACGATATCAACGGATGGAAAACGACATCGGGCAAACTGACTATTTGATTGTTTGATAAATCTAGTTCCACCAACAAAGACAATCCATAAAATGTATCTTCGAAAATATCATTCACACTATTATTCGACAGCGATAACATTTGAAGGTTATGACAATCACCAAGCATTCGTGATGGCAACGTTTTTATTTGATTCGCGTCAGCACTGAAGGATGTAAGATATTTCCATTCACAAAATCCTTTATTGTCGATTGATTTAAGCGATTGACCATCTACAATAATCCCTTGAATTCTTTGTGTTTGTTCAATTAGTTTTGCGGGAATGCGACTCCATGGTGCTGATATGTTTATGAATGTGAGACGGTGTACATCACTACAATCTTTGGTGGATTCATTATAATTGCCAAAATCACTCACAAAACAATCCAAACCAAACGATGTATGCTGCAAAGCACCCAGTATCAATAATAGTATATAAGCCTCGGTGTTGTATTTCGCACTCCTGAAAATCATACAAAATTGTTACTCACATCAATTGAAAAAAAAAAAACTATCGTCGTAGCAAGCGCTTACATTTTACACAACACTATCGATATTTAAATTAAAATTAATATGCCCTCAATTGATTTGTTATTAAAATGATGGTTGACAGAAAAAAAATCACAGAACCGAGAGAGATCGAAACTCGTTTCAGTTATGATCTATCAAGCGCAAAATGTTTGATTCGACTAAAGTGACAAGCGCCAAATAAACAACACACTGCACTTCGTTTGGCATATAAATAACACCAACTCTCACTTTGTTTGTGTTAGATATGTGATGTGAGTGAAGAATGAAGAATAGAGAAAAGAGAAAAACTGAAATTTAAATACATATGTACACAAAAGATATGTCAACAATATTGCATTTTGCCACTATGTTGCAATCGCCTGAGCCTTATCACGTATTTTAAGAAGTCGATTCAAAGGTCATCAAGGATGAATAATGAATCTTTTTAACTTTGCACATTGGATCGCAGCAGCTATCATATTTGCAGTGCGTTAATGTATGTAATATTAGTATGTTGGTGTTAGTTATATATCGCTTATCTGTACTGTCCAGAATTTGGACTTGAAAGGAAGAAAATCGATGGCTGCATATCTTAAGGCGTTTTAAAGACTTTTCTCTCTAATCTTCAATACATACAAGTTCAAATATCACATTTTCGTATTAGAATAATAAAAAAAAATAATCATGTAATTCTAGAGTTCTTCTGCTATGATTCATCGTTTACCATTTTTGAATTAAGGCGATTGACAAAAACACCAAAATTGCTTAAACTATGTCAGAATTTTTGCTCCAAACATCTAAAAACACGTTTAGCCATATTGATTAAAGTAGAAAAAAAAGTATGCTTGTCATACTAAATTCGAATTCAATTGATGTTTACCGAAACTATTTTCGCATAATGGCTAATTATTGCTAATTAGAGGTGAAAACTTAAGACACCTTTTTATGGTTAATAATTATAGTTGTTGTCATTTGGTGTTTCCTCAAAGTGCTAAAACTAGAATTTTTTTACTACGTTTTTCTTTCGACGAAGTGTGTGCAACTGTTGTTTTAAATAATTGCACGGAAAAAAGGTGGTCGTTACATGCTTGGGTGTCAATTAAAATTCACAATTTTTTGAACAACATTAGCATATGATTTTTTTTCTGATTGAAAGCGGACAATACAACCCGTTTGAATATTCATACAGTGATAAAAAAACATTGGTGACAGTTAAAGCACCATGTCTATTTGACAGATGATTTTGCTCAGTATTTGACATAACCTCAATTCCATGTGTTCATTTCATTGTGTCAAATACACTCAAAAGCGTGCACGTTTTTATTTGTTTTGCATTCCAAAACGAGATAAATTTTAAAGAAAAATTAGTTTTTACAGAATAATTGAACAAAAAACAAAATGAAGCGTTTGGATGAAGAGAGAGCTAAAGTTTTCTTCGAAAAATTGGCTAAATAGTAAGTAATTCGGAATAATTTTGCGACATGCAATTATCTTGTGTGCAATGTGCGGTACTGTAAACAATGTGTTTATTTCATTTCAGCATTGGTGAAAATGTGAAACATTTAATTGACCGACCGGATGGCACGTATTGTTTCCGTGAACAAAATAACAAAGTTTACTATGTGTCGGAAAAGATATTGAAATTGGCCGAAAATGTTGGACGAGATCGTTTGATTAGCTTGGGCTGTTGTATGGGCAAATTCTCAAAAACCAACAAATTCAAATTTAATATCACGGCACTCACCTACTTGGCACCATATGCACAGTAAGTGTTGAACTCATTGATTATTAACTCGGCCTATTTTTCTTTATCAAATTAATCAATTTTTTTGTGTCTGTCAACAGGTACAAAGTTTGGTTGAAAGCATCGGCCGAACAACAATATTTGTATGGAAATCATATTTCCAAATCAGGACTGGGCCGTATTACCGAAAACACACCAAAACATCAAGGAGTTGTTGTGTACTCGATGAATGATTTACCATTGGGATTCGGAGTAACCGCAAGGTCAACGGCCGAATGTAAAGTTACAGATCCGCTCACAACAGTTTGCTTCCATCAGGCTGACATTGGCGAATATATTCGTAGTGAAGAGACTCTATTTTGATTTATTATGTGCGATTTTAATTTTAATAAACGAAATTTAATCTAAATATGAAAACGTCTTGTGTTTATGAATATTTATAACTTTTTATGGGATTTTTTTTTTCACTTGAATTTCTCATGTAAGCAAATTGCTACCATTTAAAAGGCACCAGAATTTAAAGTGATTTAAAAATAGTTAAATTTTGAATGACAGAATGACGAGAACGAAAAAAAAAACATCGGAAAAAAAGGGACAAAAAGGCAATACGCCACGTATGGGGTCAGATTTATTTATGGATACTGATCAAAACATCAATTTCTTTGATTTATATATTTCTCGTCACTTTCGAACTATTTCTGAACCGAAAATGAGATGAAAAAACATGAGTTGATTCTGCCAATCGTCAAAAATCGGTACACTTTGCAAGTGCATAATTTACGAGTAAGTTTAGTCTCGTGCATCGGTATCATGTTCGATGCGAGTGCTATTTTAAATCATGCGGGAATTGGTGTTTTTAGTTGTATAAGTGTATGCACAATGCACACAAACAACTAACTCGTATCCTTTTTTTTATCAATATCTATCTATGTATGTACAATGTAACACAGAATTCTCGTTACAATGATACATGTGCGTTTTGAACGAAATGATCTTGAGTACGGTAAGTGAGCCTGCTTGACGACACATGTGTCTGACGAAAATTATGGAATTTGAAAGAGAAAGAAAATGACACACACACACACATTTTTTTGCTCACTCAATTTTGTCTCCTAACATGTTAAACGGCGAACAAGATACGATGGAAGACATGAAATATGGTGATGCGACAAATTTTTAAGGGTAAACAACGAACATTTCAAACATTTTTCGTTTATTTGATCTTCAAATGGGATCGCGCCAGCACGCATTCTCCTGTTACAGTTACGTGATCGTTAGTTTTATATTTCATTTGCGTTACACGCTACTAGGAAGTGGTAAAAGTGTTCGATGTTCGTAATAAATACTCAATCAATTATAAATTGAAAATTAGTACGCTGAATTTTCGGCGATAAAATATAACTTTTGTTAAATTACAAATAATAAAAATAATTGTTAAAGTTGTGTGACATGTTTTCGCCGGATATATTTACAACGACCAAATCGGTAAATATGTATATGGAGCCGACAAAAGTCGATAGTTCAGTGAGTTATTCATGTGGATCAAATCATATTTTGAATATGAATTCATCGGCTGTATTAACGCCAACGTCACCACAAACATTTTATTTACCATCAAAATCGTTTGAAAACACCGACTATCAATTGCATTCGGATGGTTTGAATAGTACTGTTGCGACGTCGCATCAATCCACCTTCAACAATGATTGTTTCAATTGGTTCGACATGGGTTCAGTGGTCGAGACTCCTAATTCTGTACAATCGGCCATTCCAACGGCATCCACAGCCAAAGCTATCAAAGAGGAGATTTTCAATTTTGAACCGGAGTACATTGAGTTCTTTCAACGATACTGTGACAATCCAGGTAAACAAACAACTGAATTTGAACAACCCGACAATGACTATATGAATTTTAATGAGAGCAATTGTCAATCGAAATCGATGTGTGCATCGCCAAATCTTGAATCATGGTTAAATACCGGTGATTCAATATCACCAAAACCATCGAATGGCCTACCACCGATATCCACCATTTCCGAACAATTTCAAACCAACTATTTGGATCGAGACGATTTCGATTTAATCGAAAACGATTCGGGTGTCATTCAAAATGACATTGATTTACAATCGATGAATAATTTCAATTTCAATCAAATCGCCGAAGATAAATCGAATCACGATGGAAAAAATATTTGGGAAATGCTAAATTTTGAAACAAGCCAACCAGAATCACCCACCGATAATATTTTCGTTGATGAAATATTGGATTGCAAAAATGAAATTGTTACGACATTCGAAACGGACAAACTTTCAAATATTACCGCTGATAAATCAGACGCCAAAGAATGGATATGCAAATGGGAAAAATGCTTTAAGATTTATGCGAATCAAAGTGAATTGGTGAAACACATCGAAAAAACGCACATCGAGGTGAAGAAGGGAGACACATTTTCGTGCTACTGGTTAGACTGTGCCCGTCAATACAAACCATTCAATGCTCGATACAAACTATTGATTCATATGCGAGTTCACAGCGGTGAGAAGCCAAATAAGTGTCAGGTAAGTGTATCCAATTGAATGTTGCTTTTAAATGTAGTTATTATGTTTTTGGTGTGTATCCATTAAAAAGATACACTATGACTTCATAAAACGGTCTTTTTTCTCCCTCTAAATAATAAAAACGGTTGTAAATATATTTCATCATAATGATCATTATTGTGTATAAATTATTTGAACATACATGAAAAAAAAGACAGAAAGAGAAAAAGAAACACACACGCTACTTTAAAATGCATTCCACTTGACTTGTGAATGCGTGCGTTATGAAAATGTATAAATATTTTTTTACGACATAGGACATCGCTAGTTTTATGTTTATTGAAAAAGATTGAGAAAAAAACACCGAAAGCCACAGAGTAGAAAAAACCTCAAATTGGAATGGGCTAAGCAAAAAAAAAAACAACAACAAAGCTGTGAAGAACAAAACTCTCGCATGAAGAAAACCGACCGCGCACCAAAAACAAATGACACATGTGGTGCGTAATTGTATGGTTTCAATTTCAATGTTTGACGATAACATTTTTTTTTTCTATATCACTGATTCCAATGGAACTTATTCACGCCCAAGCATTATTATAGAGTATGTGGTAACGGGTTAAGTCTCTAGAGAGGAATGCACTTGTGCACTCGCAAAGGATTCATATGCGTATGAAGAGACAAAGTGGAATAAGGACATTTACATTTTTTTCCGATTTATGCTCTAAGACGCTATTTATGGTTAATCGATAAAAAAAAGCGCATCTTTAAATTGAAATAACGTTTTTTGTTGTTGTTATTGTCGTCGTCCTTCGTACCGCTTCAAACCCATAAATTATTTGAATTTGTCTCTTCTGGTTCGTAGTTAGTTACATACTCTATTTGATTCGTGTGTACATGACAAACAGCATAATTTCACTTTTTTTCTCTTCTCTTTCTCTCTCACTCGCTCTCGTTCGTTTGCCACTCTTTGCCAGTGCTCAGTATGTGGCAGTGTGTTGTGGTATGAATGGAGTGGAGAATTGAATTTTTATTTTCATGCGTGAACATAAATTCTTAATTACATTATACTTTTATCTGCTTTACAGTTTTTTATCCGCTCACTTTAGCCCTTCTTCGGATAAACTGTTATTATTCAGGTTTTTTTTGCTTTTCTTGTTAGTGCCTTCATGACATGGCGTTTTTTTTCTTCTTCATACTTCTTGTGCTTACGTTTGTTTGTTTGGTGGCAAAGGCCAACTAAAACTATATACACAAACATCATAACAGCAACATGCACATGTGTTGTCTATTATTTACATTTACCGTTTTTTCATTATTCGATTTATTCCAAGTTGTTGTACAATTTCATTATGTTTTGTCCTTACTTAACAAGGGGTATATGTCATAATTCACAGCACAAAAATCCATGCATGAAGCAAACAATCCATAACACAGAATAAGAAGAGAAAAAAAAAAAAACAATATTAATAGCGCTTCATGAGCCTTTGACAAAAAAAAGTACGGTTAGAAAAAAAACAAGAAGAAATGAAGACGTGACGATACAAGGATGATTTTTTTTCTTTTTTCTATAAGTGCGACGTGCATAATGAGTGATTTGCTCGACGAGATAGAATGAGACTAGGATCAAGTCATTTAAATAGAATATACTCTCACTGTCACTCTGAATGGCATATGGTTGTTGGTTGATGCACTTGTTTCAATCTTGCACCCTGGATCGACCGATTTTCATTGCATAACCAAGAACCAAAACGTTACATTCATGTCATTGACCGACCAAAACTGATTCACTGTTTCCAATTATTGTTCGTCTTCATTTCGGTGTGTGCATTCAGAAAAGGACTTTTAAAAAGAAAAAAAAAACAAACATGGAAAGCATACAAGAAGTAAAAAATCGGATGGTTTTAGAAATGCTGGGCGTGAATCACTGCCACCGAAATAAATGTGTTCTTAATGAATCGAAAAATGAAGCGGGTGAGAAAAAGGTCGTAGCGGGCTTAATGATATTATGATCGATCTATGTGTCGCACAGTGCAATGTGTGCGGCTATGCACACATATTAAAATGTTCACGTTGCACACATCTTGCCATGTTTTCAACAGTGACAAAACTAAATAAATGACCGTGAGAAATTCGATTTTCATATTTCGATATCGACAACCGTTAGAAATGAATCGAATGTTGCATTCGTTCAGAGTTGATTGATTTACTTGAAATGTGTTTGGATTAAGTGTTGCGCTGTTTCAATCGTGTTTATTTCTTTTTGAATAACTGTCAACGACAATTTTTATATGATTGAGTGAAAGTTTTAGATGACTGAAAGTGTTAATCTTTTATTTTTACAGTTTGAGGGCTGTGATAAATCTTTCTCGCGACTGGAAAATTTGAAAATTCATCAGCGATCACACACTGGCGAACGCCCTTACGGATGTCAATGGAATGGTTGTTCAAAAGTGTTTAGCAACAGTAGTGATCGAGCCAAACACCAACGAACACACTTTGATGCGGTGAGTGGTGTGAAATTTGATCTTGAATGCTGTCTATTTGAATCTCAATTTAAAACTTATTTTTCTTGTTTATTTTTCTTTCGCCAGAAACCATATGGTTGTCAATTGCCAGGATGTACAAAACGTTATACGGATCCTTCGTCTCTAAGGAAGCACGTGAAAAATCATGCGATCAAAAGTCAACAGAATTCAAAGCGAAAATTTACCAAAGAATCGGAAATTGTGCAAAAACGATTAATCACAAGAGAACAACGATTGAATGATCGTTTTACAAGTGTCAGCGCCACCGCCGCACCGGTCAATGATGAAAATGAAGTTAACATAAAAGATGAGATTGATTTTCAATCAAATTCGTTCAACTTTAACGATTCATGTGAGAACAATGAATTGGAAGAAAGTTGCACGAATTCAATTGATCTGATGGACATTTCAAAGTGCATCATTGGAATCGAGGAGGAGAAAAATGAATACAATCATTACGAACAGATGAATAATCGAACTGAGAATTCCGCTTCGGCTGAGTTTAATAACATTGAAGCCATAAAACAGTACTTAATTGAACAACCAAATGAATACATCGATCTCAACTCATTGCAATCCGTTAAACAAGACTATTTCAATAACTTTTAAGAGTTTTTTTTACTTGTTCATCTTCTTATTCTTCATAATCGTTTTTCTTTAATATTCGTTAAGTTAGTTCTCGTTTTATTAGCTTTTAATTTCAATCAAGCAAGCATTTTATTAGTTTTTAAAAGAAATTGTTAAGTGTTTCCTGGTGCAATTTCGGCGCTAAAACTGAAATAAGATTTCGTGTGAAATCTCTTTAGCATTTAAATGACAGTAGATTTATGGTTCCAAAGACTTAAACATTTTTTCTCGTTTAGAAAAAAAAATAGACTTAAGATTACTTCCCCGGAATCGTGAGAATTTAACCACATTAAAAAAATAAATGAAATAATTTTCTTGTTTGAAATCAAATCGCTTCATTTGAGTTCGCGCCACAATAGACCACTTAAGATGTGGACATTGAACATGATTTTCTTTGATAAATCAAAGTAGCGAGAGGTGAGCGCCGCATTTGATGAAGTGCTACTGGTTTGTCATTATGATTGGAAAGAATGTGAAAATGGTTTGGATATTGATTGCTCGTGATGAACGCACGCATCCGAATTCTAATTTTGGTTTCCGATTCGCTTTGAAGTGTGCCGCCCTCGTCACCGTTCAAATTCGAGTGGACTCAAGAGTCTGACTAAGCAAATGTCTTTGAATATATTGTGTTTTTTTATTAATATTAATCGGAATCGTGTTCAATAAGTGTTTTTTCCATCATTTTTTAATTATTTTGACGCCATGGCACAGCACATACCAAGAAGATAAAATTATTGAAATTTTTTGAACGAAAAAAAATCCAACACCGAAGCCGTAAAAATCGACACTTTTTCATTTGATTTTATTCGTGCGTGGCGGCACCTTTTTATCGTTATGGGAAAATCGGTCGATGAATAACTGTACGAAATCCTCAATACAGTGAATGAGGAAAAAAGTGAATGCATACTCTTTTTCGGCGGCGACCCTGACGTGGAATTTCGATTAAACATTTTATTTATCGGTAAGGTCTCAATCAGAAGAGAAAAACCCGTCTATGCCGTTTAGCAAATTGAAAATGCATTCATTGATACTTTATCACAATTTGATCCTTGATCTTTTCGTGTTGATCCAAATTGCATGTTCTTTGCCAATAATTTTCACTGACTCAAAAATTTGCATTCGACTGGTTTTTTTCCTCGTCGTCGTCATGCGTAAAACGATTCTATTTACAGTAAGTTTATCGTTTTTATCATTAACCAGCATCTGTAAAATGTTAGGCCCACATCACCAGCCCCGGGTGAATGATCATCTGTGTGTAACCTTAGTAATGCCACATCTATCTGCGTTGCGTAGAATTCGTTTCAATGTGGCATAAATTATGCATCTGTTGGTAACTGAATGGCGAATAGTTTATCCTTATCATGATCCATAGCTATATAACTCCAACAGTAAAAAGATCATCATGTTTTTGAAGTTTGTAGTTCGTGTTTGAACACCTTATTTCGCATGAATCACATGTGACTGTGTGATCAACCCACCGAAAAAAAGTCGTAAATGTATTAGGTGACAATCGACAAAAAATGATCGTATGCAAATTGCTCGACTAATGTTTCGTTTTTTTCTTCTTTTCTGAAAATGCGGTCAAATAAACAAACTTGAGCGCGAACGATAAAATCGTTAATCAGATCACTTCTTTTATATATGCCTAAACAATTCGCACGGTGACTTTCTTGTACATTCGCGCCATGAGTTATCATGGCACGCAAATGAGTGTGAATGTTACCGTACCACAAAAAAAATTGGTCTCGGAGTCATTTTTTTTTTCGTTGCTATTATGTTCGAGAGAGCAATTTCTGCCGCCTGACTGTGGTGAATTGCGTGTGACCAAATGCAAGTGCACACTGAAACACCCAATTCTTGATAATCACGTTTAATTATCAGCTCGTTTATTTTATAGAGGTTTGTATTTTGCCCGCCATTCCAATTGCCGTTCTTTTTTTTGTGCTGAACTTTGACGAAACAACATAACATTGCAAGCACTGTTACACATTTGGTGCGATCAATTTGTTTTCAAAATTGCTGCAAATGCATAATTTGTATCCTTTATGCCAATTCGAAAATTACTGACTACAACCCATTCGCAGAGTGCAGCCAAATTCGAAAATGAGACAGAATCGAATCGATTTTTGGATACAACTTATAATTTTAGATCAATAAACACTCTTTTACCGTTTTGTTTCTTTTACACAGACACTCTTTCTCTTCCGCTCTCTCTCCCTCCCTCTCAAGTGCTTATTTCGAATGCCGAATATTGTGTGTGCATTGTGAAAATCGATTAATTTTTATGAATGTGCAAATTGTCTCGAATTCGAAATCATTTCCATTGGAAACCGAACGAGAGACAGAGAAACTCTAGTTACCCATTGGTTTGGTAAGCAAGAACAACAATTGGTGCCGGCTATAAAGAAGCGCGATACATCAAAACCCAATCGATATAAAAGTCGGAATGTGAATGAATATGAAAATGATTAATATCACAAGTAACGCCTTGTCGTCCAATATTTTCGTTTCTCCGAAATATATCCCCCTATCTCTGCATCGGCATGATCGTTCGCCGCTTCAATTCGACTCTTTTTTTGCCATTGTGAATCGATGCTAAGACTTGGCTGTCTCTTCGTTTCATCTCTCTGTGTGTCTCTCTCACTCGCACTATAATAATATAGAGCAAAATGATTTGATCGATTTCGATACTTTTTCCGGCAAATCGCGATTGTGACAAATGGGGAAATGGGCTAAGTACAGTTTTGTGGTGTGTTGTGTTATTAATAAATTATATAAAAGATATACCAAATCAGATTTTCAGATGAGGCAAACAAGCCATGTATTATTGGTAAATTAAATGAAAAGACTGGCTGACGGTGTGCGAATCGTTCTCTCTTTCTTTGTTGGTCATTTTGTTTCCTTGGACGATGAATATCAAAATGTGGTCAAGTGGCCGATATATTGTGGAATTTCAACAAATTTTTTTGCGCCAATGAATTGTGTCGGAATCGATTTCTTTCTTTCTTTTCAAAACCAAACGATGGGCACACATTTTGCCGTCGGTGTGAGAAACAATGCACAATGAATTTAAATAAATATTCGTGATAAAAATGTTGTTGGCCCGAGGATCATTTGTCAAATAAAAAGAAACCTGATACATCCACAATCTTGAACATTTACTTTATTTCCAAAACGAAGCGCGGCAACAAGATATATATCCGTTTTGTTCAGAGCGCGGCAATCGCTTAAAATGGTTCGATCGTAATATGCACACATATAGCAACAACACGAAGTGAAAAAAAAACATACGACAATTACAGTTCTGAAGACAAATGGTGTGATAATTCGCAATGAAGTGAGTGAGAGGAGAAAATTGGCATACAACTGTTTGAATTTATCACACATATTTAAATGCATGCCAATGGACACAATGCCAAAATGATTATAACCTTTGGAATATATATGCAACAAAAAAGTCGCCACTTTATTTATTTATACATTTGTTGTGTTCGCATACATTCAGATGAATATGCATCAATTCACTTTGCGTCGCTTTGCATACACAAAATGCGAGCATAAACACGGTTAAAATTGACTGCGTGATAGGTGATACAACGTGAACAAAATGAGTATCAGTTTCCATTCTCATTATGCATGATAATCGAGTGTGAAGAGAGCGAAAGCCATGTGCCATGTTTGATTCCATGCTGAAGATATACTGACCGACCGAACTAAATGAAACAAAGTGTTGACAGCAAAAGTATGGTTAATAAAGTGTGTTTTTTTCGGATTTTTATCGAATCGTTTTCTTCCCGCTCGTCGACAATGCACGTCATCATTATGGCAGTGTGCTTTTGATTTATCCCAATGTTGTTTTTGGATGCAAAATGCCCTAAAACAACGATTTCCTTTCGTGAAAAAAAGAAATGTTGATGAGAATATCGACAACTTTCAAAATGTCCTCAATATCGGCTAAAATAATATATAAATTTAATGGTTACATCGATTTAAACGAGTGATGTTCAGATGGATGTGAGTTTTTATTGATCTGTCTTTGCCAGAAGATATGGCGCACGAAGACGAGTAAAACATGTCGAAAAGGCGTGTTCGATTCGCACAAATCCATTACGTATTAATAAACAATTATTACAATTTTAATGCACGCTATAATGACACTTTATGAAAACAATTACCGTTACACCACTACACTCAGCCGATGGATAATCCGTACGTGACCATAAGAAGTCCACGATTTACACACACACACACACGAAGGAAGTCTATCATTTTAATTCTGCTCATTATACATTTATATCGCATTAGCAAATTGCGCACGCACACACAAGGATGATCTTGCCGTTGATTACTTTTTAATTTCGATGGTGGGTTTTGTATGATGCTTTCGATGATGACGATGAAGTGTTGACGATAATCCATCATTATATTAACCGATTCTTAATGAATATTTGTCGTTTGAATTGCAGTTTTTGTTGTTTTTTTTTTATCTTGTGACTTATCAATCAAAGCGGTCGTGATGCAGTCGTCACAAACAAATCATCGCCATCAAAATGTGATGTGCATCTTATCATTATTCGATCAACTACATAAACTTTTTTTTCTTTCCTCTCGCTCGCACTGGCCCTGTCTCTCATGATTTCTCAAGAAATGTGATGCGCTTTTATTATTGCCTGCATAATGATGGGTGCAGTTTTGAATGCTGTTTATCACACATAATTTTCGCACATTATTTTTTCACATCTTTTGCAATGCAATCGATTAAATTCACGGTGTCGGTGCAGATAAAGACAAGTGCTCCGGTTTTTTTTACCATCACCATCATTACAATAAATTGGGATGCAATGAAATCAATTTTTCGTGCCCACAGACCACAGGACTTTTGATTGGTGTTATAATTGGCTGAGTGACGCTGAAACAGCAGTTAAAGTACGAAATTACGATGCAATTTAACATATATTATTTCCATGATCTCTTTTTTTCATTTAAAAAAAGTATTGCATATTAAATGGTCGGCAACTGAAGTTCGGTCGCGATCACACTTTCGCACGAAGTGAACAGACAATTAGACATGCA